GTGGCATGGGCTTAATCACTCTTTCACCCCTCTCTCTCACCTTTCGTTTCGTCCAGACTGTATACGAGATTGCGAATTGATGAATACGGGAACGAGTGGGGGTGGAGAGACAGAGGGAATGAACGAACGAGGTACGCGCAGATTGTTTCTCACGCACGCACATATGAACAGATACACAGCATCATCATGGTCATGATCATCTTCATTATATGAATGAAGATGACAAAAAGGCCATTTGAACTATTGGCAATCCACAACTCGATCGTCAGAATCTTAACAGTGAGTCCAAACTCGTGTTTACTGTTCACTTGAAAGCCCACAGGTCATTGACCGGGTACTTGGTTTGTTCAAGAGTTTTGCACTAGGACATTAGCGTAATGCATTTGGAAAGTGTTCCCTTAGTTGCCCGGCTGATGTACTGCATCTCGTCAAAATATGTTTGTCACCTGTCGAATATGGTCAGCTGGACTGTTGACAGCAGACGTCTGCTGACAACCTGAGAAGCAACTGCATACCGAACTGTCTGTGTGCTGACCCACGAACACAGACCACGTATGACGGAGTTTCATTTCAGGGGCACACTCAGTATAAATGGCATTGTACGTACGCACATTTATACCAACGAAATGCTCAAATAATCTAAAGAAATAATTCCAGTGTTTTCGGCATGCTGATCAAACTATGCTTTCATTTTCTCCTCATCATAGAAAAGAAATATTCAACGAAGCTTAAAACACTCAGAGGGAATGCTGATTTCCTTCTATAGTCAGACCCAGATTTTTATTGTTTTTCGTTCACAGCGTTGTGTTCTATCGAATAAATCAGTAACCTGAAGATTTTAAAATGTCCTACGGGTCAAATATTAATTTGGTTTCCAGTTTTTCAAATGAAGCATCCATCACCATTTGTTTAGTTTTTTTTTGAGGTGAATCGAATTGCTTAAATTGCTCTTCAAATGAGAAATGTTTAGAGTGCGATTATCCGCGTAGATTCACCACTCATACTGAAGATTTACTTGCGAAATATTGCAACTCGTTTTATTTTTCTTGCGAAACAAAATTAGATCAGACCTCTCTGAATTGATATGTTCATCTTATTGACCGTGGATAAAATAGTTCAGGAGGTATACGGAGGAATTGTGATCACTGGATAAATCGATGCCTCAATCCTTTTCGTATAACAAAATGATCGTCTCGAATGGAACTCCTCATTGGTGCTCGCGTTTTTCTCCACATTGATTTTCGCGGTCATTGACCTGTTCATTATGCAATGTTTATCTTTTGTGTTATACCAAGTTATCCTAGCGGGGCCACACCAAGTATCAATCAAGGCCAGCACTGGCGCAAACGGCAAACCCTGCAGTAGTCGTAAACAACTGACGGTTACTCGGTCCCTTTCTGCTAACCCGAAATATATACATACTATCATTACTATGATGTGCCTCATCATGTATCAAGTTGCTTATTTTTCATGAAGATAAAGGTTAAAGTGTAACATACCAGAGAGTTTTTCAACATTCTATAAAAATGGATAATACACCAAGTGCGGTGCAGGGGTAGTGGCTCCACCGGAACTCTGAGTGATTTCCTATACAACTTTACCCAGTGGGAAATTTCAGCTATCACAATTCTCCCGGACGCATATGTTTTATTGCTCAGCTTATCACTTGGATGCTAGTCCTCGTTTAACTGACTGCATCTGTGGCTTATCTTCCAGTAACAAGCTGTACTTGACCAACGGATATAACCACTCTTCCATTTAGCTTGATCCCTGCTGCCGAATTTTTGAATTTGAACTAATCTAGGCAACAGTCAGAACGTAATACAATTTTGTCCTTAAAAGGGGACTAATAATTTGCCATATCAATAGGGCTTTCCATACGCGAATCCCCTCCCCATACGACTGTCTCCGTGGCCTCGATCAATCTCAATACATCGTCCCAGTGATTGGTTTTTGACTTCTTGGTTTGGTGCGAGTGTTTTCGACTGAGACAGTTTCTCCCATCAGCGCAAACATTTGGAAGTAAGCTGTTGCAACGTAACATTGCTCGTTCAAGTTGGTAGTCTACAATATTGACAGTGTTGTATGGAAATTAATGAATTAACGGGTCAAAAGTCATAAAGTAAGATTTCCAAGGGAGGGGAATACTCAAATGATGTATGATGTATTATCTCTTTCCTCATTCACAACCTAGAAAACGGTTAGATACTTAAATGTGTATCTGCGTCAACGGTAAAAATTTGTTGAATAACCATCTATCCGATAGCAAAGGCAGTTATACATGAGTTCATAAAGATCCTCTAAAGTAAACTTGTACCATGTTGCCGTGCCTGACATTACAAACCTCAGTATCATTACGCACCTCCTCCCCACATGCAATTTACTTGGTAATAAGCTGCACTCTGAATCATTAAAAATTAGGCTTTAGGCTATTTCAAGATATTTTTAAAGCATTTCTTTAAATCACATTGATATAATTTTGCTATATAAACCAATCTGATGGAAAGGGAACAAGCAATGGTTCAACGGGGAAAGTGTATCAAAATTGTCTTAGTCTATCGACGAGACAATTGTTAGGCTTTGATGATCTCATAAGCGCGATCACAAATGACAACTATGTGTGTTCCGTCTTGACGTTCTGATAGTAATGCCGATTAACTGAATTTTCGATTGTGAACATTAGCCCCAATGGACATGGTCATCTTTCCGACCCAGATCTTATGGTACCGTTCAAGTAAATCGTGCACGATTTTCTTCTAGGATAAAAATTGCCCTCTGGTTGCTGTGATGTATCTTCGTGACACCCAGTGAAGAGGTTAATAACCAAGCCAAACGACCTGGGATGAAGAGTAGTGTATATGGGAAACACTACAGATGGGATATGTATATGTATATTTTTTATTATTGTATTCTATTGATAATGAGCATAGCAAATTTAGCACGGTTTACTATTTGTCATACTGGCTAATTGTTGATACGCTCGACAGTCCTGTGTTCCGTTCCGAGTAATTTCCTAGGTACGTAAACCTTGGCCGTTTACTGTTCTTGTATATGCAACGCANCGCATTTGCCGTGGACAAAGTTTATTGTATTCATTTACTTGCTTGCAAGTTGTGCTTAATTTTAAGTCAAATATAACGCTCATCTACGGGTTGACACTTAATCAGAGGGCAGTCCAATTATTCTTAAGAGAGCTTTAGACAGGTAGAAATTATCCACGATAGAACGATATACTTCTATTGTTGAGATATTCTGCTATCCATTTTTCATTATAAATGGCTACGGGACAAACGCCCATGTATAGATCTGGAGATAATGAATTGCTGAAGTATAAAATGCCTTTGGTGAAAATTCACCTATACGACGGATAAACCAAAGCAAATAAGGGTAGTGACCTTACGAATACCGTACGATCACTCAATCACAGAAGTTATATCGATACTGGTGTGTAGACTGAAATCACTGGTAAGACGCTCAACACGAAACTTTTGTTCGCTCGCAACATGTTGTTCACTGTCTAGCAAAACTTCACTTCCTTTAGTTAGCCTTGCAGTTCTTGTGCCCACTGAGCCATATTAAACCAAAGAAAATTCATTTTGGATCCGTGTTGAAGACATTCAGCTAAAATGGGACACACAACATTAAAATACTCATTCTTTTGGCATGCCCAATTAGTTTACCAGAAAACGTCTAATATTTTTTCAGATAGCTCTTTGTTTGACAGCTTCCCCCTTCCGGGAAGTTGTATCATTTCACATTAAATGAAAGGAAGTGAAAATGCAAAAGAAGTTGATCTGAGGTCCCGTTAAATTCGTATTAACAGAAGATGCTATTCTCTCAATGCCTTTTGTCTTCGTAAAATAGAGACCTACCAACCCATTTTCCAGCGATTGTTGTAATTATGCTGATGACGTTATGATAGGGAATCCTTACCGTAATGCTACGTGGTTTTCATTATTTTCAGGCATTTCTGGTTGCTCCGCAACTGATTCGTTTTCTCAGTTTCGGTGATGTCCACTGTAGATCGGACCGCACTTTTTACAATGATTAACTATCCCTTATCGTTTCCTGTCATTCGTTCTTAAAACAAGTCTGCATAACTCGTTCTCACAATCTCCCAAGATTCCATTCCATCAACAATTTCTATGTTAAAGTTTGTAAACTGGTGTTCTACTCATTCAGACTCAGGAAAATCGGGATCACCCAATGTTTGCTACGTGAATTTGTTTTCCCTCCAGCATGTTTTGTACCACTAGTCTTACTGTTCCCCGGTTGAATTTATTGTAAGCAAAGAACTGGGAGCCTATGGTCAGAGATTGCAACCGTACATCGAACGCTGTTTACTTGGAGAATTTCTTCAAGTCGTATTCTCTCTCAGTAAGGATCCCAAATTTGAAATTCGTCATTCACGAACACCAGTCTAGTGAAATCACCCTGTTCCCTACTTTGGACGCATTCTTGTAACTGTTCATCCATGATTGATAGTGGCGGTTGTGCAGTGGCTTAGCCGCTGTGGCCAGTGTGCTGTGGATCCTGTGGTTCGAGATTCGAGCCCGGACACCGTTACCCAACTTTGGTGGTAGACAGCTTTCCTGTTGCCCGCTTCAATACCACACCTGACCTAGTGGGGCCTCATGTGATTAGCCATTACAAGTCCCAGGGCCTAGATTACCGGTTTCCATCAATGAACAGCAGGTTTTTATGACTCCTGCTGCTTATCACACATATGTATAATAAAAAAGAATGGCAATCGCACAGATATCCGCTTATCAGTTATCATTTTGTCATCAAAGTATTCTCGAAACACAAGCGGATTCTGTGAACCATGCTAAACACCCCGTTTTGTGCGCTTAGGGCTTATTTCGAGTTGACTTTGAAAAACGTTTTTCCCGTCAGCTTTGTCTGGAAAGAGTTCAGTACTCAACTAAACTAACCTTTTTCATTTGATCAGAAATCTGAGGGAGGACGCCAAATCAACCGACATCAGCACAAGAAGAACAATGCTACCCCGTCCAAATCGTGACATATTACACGAGTCTACCACGAAATCACATGCGGATGGGATAAAATCGCTTCCAGGATCGACCTTCTCTATTCAAAATCTATTACACATTACAACCGGAGACGACGAACAAGGACCAGAAAATTCGGATCGCCCCTCAAGGCGAGCCTCAGACAGCAATGAGATCAACCACGCGATCACAGCTGGCGTATCTCGATTCGATGTGTCCACATTTGTCAACAGCAGTCCTCAAACTAGTGCTTGTCCGTCAGTGCCTGTCGCTCGTGGCACAGTTCTTCATCACGGCTCAGAATGCGAGCGATCTGTCGAGACGGAAAGCAGTCAACCGCCAGATTGGCTCCAAGCTTTGTTAAATTTGGCTCATCGACGAGAAAACCAGTGGAATTCGTGCTCTATCATCAAGGAACTGGCCCGTTTAGTCTCGTCCAAAGATGCCACAGAAATCTGCATGTTTCATCCAGGTTCAACGGACGCACACAACCGGGTGGATCAGTCCATAGGGAAACTAGTGACTGGAAATATGTCCTCGTTTTCCCCATTCACAGAAGAAGACAGCGCAAATCCTTTGGCTAACCCACCCAATCTGCATGGCAATGGAATGCGAAACGAAGTTGTTCCAGACTGCTCTCCAGAAAATTTGATCCCATTCATGTTGCAAACAACAGGCAAGGTTATCGCTTAAAAAAATTGTACTTGGCGTTTGTCACTTTTGGCCCATATCAATCGTATCGGAACCTAAAATCAATCATTCAGAGAAATAGTCTGTACAGTATCTATCAATTTTGGTAGCTTTGTCAAATTTAATTGTTTTTGTGTGTTAAAAGAGTTCGCTATCACTTGGCTCACTTTCAAAATGTTGGTTAGATTCCAGCTAGAAAATGTCCGCTCTGAACCGTGGGGATTGAAATTTTTTCCCGAGTATGTCACAACCCAGCCGCACTAGCCAATGTTACCACGGGGGAGTTAAGATAGCGGCTCGTGCTAGGTTTAAAAAACGGGATGATTTATAGTGTGCATGGTAGATAGAAAGTGTGCAGTCTGTTCAGCTACTAGATCGGCAAGTGAGTATTGTACCTCACTTCTATGCCTCTGAGGTCTTTGGAATTCGACCTTAAATTGGATTCAATTTGCTGGTACTGTTGATGGGGTCTAACAACTTTGAAACGACTGCACATAGCGGATTCCTTGATTTGAAGTTGATGTTTCTTTATGCGATTAAATAAATGAAATCACCAAGTGATCTTAGGAATTACTAACCTGTGGATTATTTTTGCTCTCGAATGAAAACTGCCTCGGAGGAAATTAATCGTTAGAAGTGAAGTGAAAGAGAAAATGGGAACTCCCTACCCTAAACAGTACACATGTGTGATGAGAATTTCTGTACCTCGATGCGTTCACGTCCCATTTGCTTGTGAACTCACTTTCATATTATTACTATTATTATTGTTATCTAGTTTTACTGTTTCATTCCGACAAGTTCTTTTTTGATCGTTATCCAAAGTGTGCAAAATAAATAACCTACGCGTTCTTTGGTGATTCCTGCTTTTTTAACCATTACTGTAAGCATAAACTTGATCAGTTTTAAAACATGCATAATCAACGTACTTTCAGTCCATCCTGAAACCTTAACGCCACATTCCCCCTCAGAACGACATTTGCCTTTTGATCACACGTGACCAGATTCATAGAGTCAGCCGAAATGACCAGTGTATATTTGGCGGAGGTTTGCTCCACACAAGACATCTTAAACGACGGAGGGAATATCCAGTGAACAGTATGATTGAATTCTCCTTGTGAAGTTTCAGGTTTGAATCTCACTGTAGATAATACCCAAACTACAAGGTTATGCAGCAGCTATCGCAGCTGTTTATTTCAAGTCGAGAGTATACGTTAGAAACTAACTATCCAACAACAACAACAACTACAAAGACAGCAACAGCAACAATGATTACCACTACGACGACGACTACGATTAGTTCGACGACGACGACGAAAGTCATTGTAGTCAAATGGACGCGTTTCCTCATAGGTAACACAACTGACCTGTAATGCTTGGCAGTCGAAGCACCACGAGAACAAGGAAATCGGATTGCAAGAACCTGGGCACATATTGGCTCGAGCCACAAGTCCTGTGACCTGACCTTGTTCGAAGATATATTAAACCGGCTTTTTTGACAATATTTGTGCAGGCGTTTAAGCTTCCTTGGAGCAAACCCCACATTCACAATAGTCCTGACAATGAGATAACAACAGTTATTTGACCCCAGAGAACCCCATGTCCTGTCCAAAGAAGAAATAAGCCCCAAATNAATACTCTATGATGTTACTTTTCCCTTTCCCAAACCATTAACATTGTTGAGTATTGATATATATCTATATATTTAGTGATATTTATCGTAATGTATTGATATGACTGTGAATGACTATGAAAACAAGTTTGTTCGCCGCTCCCTGTTGCATTTGAGATGGGAACTGTTAGGGTGATTAAAAATGAATGATTTGATTGAGATATATTATGAAAACGAATTAACAAAAAGCTCATCGATTTTTACAGTTAGCTGTCTATTTCAGTTTACAGGGAGCAATATTATCAAGGAAGACTGTGCTAGATAAAATCTAAGATCTGTGAGAGAATGAATCCTTCAGTATCCTCGGCATTCCGATATGGAGTGGAACTTTGGGCATATTTTTCCTATGAAATCTTCTTCTAGTAGTTTTGAAAGCAAAAGCATCAGTGCAGACCAGTTAAAAGAGGGTCAAAACTCTATCAAGAAGCAGACCGAGCGCACACGTTGATCAAGGTGTAGCGAGATCAATCGCCAACCGAAGACTTCTCACAATCCTGGAAGCAACCACGGATAACACGCAACCGTTTTGTCAATGAAACAAGGCTCGATTATTCAAATGAAACAACCTGAATGGTTGTTTCATATCCCTGATCTGAAAACGTGCCCCACTAACGTTGATTCTTACCATTCTCCCGTGATACTAAACTCAACACTTGGTTTTGAACTGACATGTTTCCCTATAAGCACTAACAGACTGATGCGTGTTTTACTCACAATTCAGGTACCGGATACGCCTCGATTCCGATCTTTTCACGCGATTCGAACGGGGGAAAGCAGTGTCGTCGACGCAAAGCTCGCACGGTGTTTAGTGATCACCAACTGCTAGGGTTGGAGCATCGTTTCGAGACGCAACACTATCTATCAACCCCGGAACGAATTGAGCTGGCTAATCAACTGAGTCTGTCAGAAACACAGGTAAGTGTCTTTTAAATGCACATGCCTATTTCCTTAAGGTTAATCTACATCAAGTTTCACTGTAAGAACAAGTCTTTAGTCGAAAGTTTAATTAGCTCCATAGCATTATAATTGTAAAACTGATAATAAAGGATGAAAAAGAAAACAATGAGACTAAACATTGAATTCCCATAACCAGCCGGGATACGTTTACAGCAATATTCAGTACCTCTTTTTCACTCACGAGATCTGGACAACTGTGGACAAATGTTATAAAGGTGGTTCTGTGGTACTTCAAATATTCTGTCTTTCTTTCTTACAGATTCTGAAATTTTTTGGTAGACAAACCACAAGGTACTCTGTCGACGGAAGCAGGTCACATGACTTATGCCCATAAAGTTGTGTTCCAGTGGCTTATTATGCGTTTTACCTAATCACCGCAATCCCTTGCTTGGAGTACAACAATTTGGGCAAACGGTAGCACACGGTCTCCGATTTGCAAGTATCAGCGGATACCGCTTTCAAGACTGATGACTGAACAATCAGGGGAACGAATTTCTAGATTTGAAATGTTCTTACGGTACACATTGTTCAGTAATAGTAAAGAACAACAACAACAACAACCTTTAAATTGCTAGCAAATGGTGTGTGGACTAGCCGGCTCATTCTAATCAGGACTTGTCCACAGGGTTTAGATTTTACCTCAAGATGGAGTTGTATCACGTCAAGTTAGGACAAGATGAAAATACCTAGCCACCTGCCCCCCGTGAAACGATTTGGATAGGCCATACATGAGCTCCACGTCTGGATTATCGAGTTCGATCCACAGTTGGATCGATCAATTTACACACTTGATGAGGCCCAATCAGATCGAAACACCTGCTTGCGAGTTCTGCAATCCATTTTTATTTTGTTCTATATAGGACGAAAGCTATCCCAAAGGTAAACAGGTAATGTATGATTCAAACAGCAAAAGAACACCGTTGTCGGGCCTGCACGTCTAAGCAACTCAAAAGAAACCACTACTACTACTACTACTACTACTGCTGCTGCTACTACTACTACTACTACTGCTACTACTACTACCACTACTACTACTAACTACTGCTTACGTTGGTAACACTGGACTAGGTAATCTCCCGGATATTAGTGATACTCCTTTAAACATAGAACATTTCTCTTAGGTAACAATAATACGACAGAGTCAGACACACGGAAGGTTGTTAGTAACTGCTAACCGTTCATCTAAAGCATTTCATGACAAACCGAGCATCTTATGCATTGGACCCTGACCACTCTGAACATTTTTGACCAGACACAAATTTCTCTGCGAAAAACAAATGAAATATGTTTCGTTCCAATTTTTTGCTTGAAAATTGAATCCGTGTACTGTCTCTTGTTCTCACCATTGATGAGTATAACATATTTGCTTGACCGCTAAAATTACAACCCCAAAACACTTATCCGCCTATCCCCCACACCGGTAGGTGAAAACGTGGTTTCAAAACCGGCGCATGAAACATAAAAAAATGAAACGAGCATTTAACAATTCCGGATTCACGGGGACATCTAGCGGGAGTAAAGATGGCTTGGTGATCTGTGCAGACGAAGATGAGGAGGAGGACACAACCAAAAGAACCGGATCAACTCCATCAGACAAAGATGTGGATCCGGCAGAAGATATAAGCAATCCAGACGAATCAGTCGTGATCGGTCAGGGAGTCGACGAGCAAGACGGATTCAGTGATAGACAAACACCGTTGCCCGACGACTCGATCCATGGAAACGAGTCTCATTTCGGTCCAGTGGACTCCTGGCCAAACGGATCCGGATTAATGCGATGCTCGTTTCCAACTCCGGGTAGAAGTGAAATAAAACAACAACTACAACAACAACCAGTGCACCCTGACGGTGAATCAGTTCCAACGAAAGGTCATCGGGTTAACAAGTCTGTCCTCTCTCATTTGATATCATTTACACACAAACATCGGAAAGTGGATCGAGCTCTGGCTCAGACTGCGAGTGCTTTTCGAGATCTGGACTCTAATCTGTCCAGTATACACAGTTCGACTGTTTCACATGCGGGAGCAGGAGAGGTGGACTTGAGGGAGGTAAGTTGGTTGCAGAGTTTTGGTGCACCGAGACAAACGACCGAGTTGAATCATACCGAACAAACGCCAAACTTACAACAACCACCCCCACCTGTACCACCTTATTGGTTTTGTTCAATGGGATCATGGAACACAAATACCACATTGAATAAATCTTCAACATGACAAGCCCCATGAACAAGGACAGAACACAACCGTGTGACGTAACACCCTGCCACTTCTTCCGCGCCATCCCCTCCACTTGGGCATTGTTTTGTCATGTAACCCAATGCGCCGTCAGCTTCACCATCCTAATGATAAAGGGATGTGTGTGTGTGTGTGTGTGTGTGATTAATCGGCCGAACATGTTGTCCGCGGATTAAGGGACCCTGAAGTCAGTCGATGAGGTCAGAGTAGTGTGCTGCTTTTGTGAAATACACACAAAATTTTCTTTGTTCAATTTGTTTTGAAAAGCGAGAGTGAGTAGACTCGTACACTCTGTCAGACAGCTCAACAAATAGTGTGCCTTTTGGAAAATTTTTCAACTTCCATGGTATTGTTCGAACAGGGTATAATTTTCTAACTTCTTGAGTAACTGGCAAACACCGATGGAAGAGAAACATTAGAACTCAGATTTAAATGGCGGTTTATTTCGGTCAAATATGATGCTGTCAAACAGGCATTAAATTATTTCTTCAGAATGAATGCACAGACAGGTCACCTGATCGCAGAATCATCCACCAAGTTAAAGAATTCCTAAATCACGCAGTAGATCCCACTCACTCACTCACTCGCTCACACAAAATCCTCGTTCAGGTGACTAAGAAGCACAAGATAGGTATTTGTTTTGTTCATCAAACAGGTTAAACTGCCCATCAAAGCGGACTTAGGGATAGGTATGATCAAAACTGTGAAACATATTTTTCTGATATATGAGAGCAATGACGGATATGATTTGATTGTATAATGGATTTTGTCTCCCAAATTGGTAACGTGGAATTTGGGGTCGGTTGTTGGCCAGTGTCCAATGTTGGAAGATTAAAATTCAAAGATGATTCACCAATATTGGGGGAACAATATAAACCACGAAAGTAACGGTTAAAAGAAAGAAGTCGGAGCTTCAGCCACATAAACGATTCACGATTGAAATATTCAAGATTTGGGATTCTGGAGGAGGTGACTGATTGGAGGATAGAGGAGCAAACGACAGGAGTGGAAAGTGTAGTTGGGGACTTGAAAGTGTGTAGTGTTTGACGCGAGGGAGATTTGTGTTTCGGCCAAAAAAACGAGAGGAGAAGAGGAATGGAGAAACGGGTATACAGAATCATTGTTGCGGTTCAGTCCACGAATGGTAGCGAGGACGATGAGTGCGTGATTGCATTGCGAGTGCATAAAGCGAGGGATCAACAGCGTGCGTAATTTCGTGTTTTTATGTTAATTTTATTTAAAGGAAACTGGCAACCATGACCCTGAAACTTGGAGTAGTGGACCACAATTTCAATTTCAGTTTCTACAATCATGATCCATGAACTTTCGTGCGCAAGTTTTGGTTGCTGTATTTTGGCCACCCAGTTAGGTAAAAAAAGAGTATATATTGGAATGTTGAGAGCAAATTCAAGGGGAAGCTAGAGAGCTCATAGAAACTGTGGTTGCATGAACATTGAATAGATACACCAGCACCACTGTTTGCGACACTCAACCATATCACTGAGTGTCTATAAGCAACGGTTGCCATGATCTCGCGGTCCCCATCCAGGGAGCCTAACGGTGTACATGTGACCAATTGTCCTGGTTAGGGTTTTCACACCCCTATGCCAGTTTACAGAGTGGCATTTTTTCATCCGCTACCTCCCTCGGCAAAAATTGAGGGCCGTGGCAACCTATTTCGTGATATCAATAACCAAAGTAATCCACGGAAGTCGACCACTAGCTTCAGTGGATGACCGCGGTTACCCAATCTCTGCGCCTAACCTCAGCATTGTTCGTTCGGCTGCCCCACCAGATTCATGCAATGCTGCGTAGACAGCGATATTCAAACACCAACAGCCTATATTTGTCCTATTTTTGTGATAGCCAAGTTTCTGCGCCGTATAGCAGAAATGATTGAACCGCCGCAGCATACACTCGACCCTTCGTCTGTGATGCGTCCGTCAGGTATTACTTACCCAGTCAGGGTGAGGTTTGAGGCTGGGCCAATCCAATCGTGTAGAAACCTTTTACACTTTGAGGGTACAACATGCAAACCAAACGTAAATATACTAGCACTGAAACTATCCAGAAGAGTTTGCCACTTACCAATTCCTCTCATTTCACGTGAAAGGAGATCTACATTTATGGATATT